CTTTTGCAAAGTTGAAAATTTATTACTTGCATTCTTTTGTCTTCTGTGCATTTAGGCCCTTTCGTAGTGATCCAGTGGAAAGACGGAGCACCTGTTCTAAACCCATGTTGCCCTGGGTTGTGAAAACTGATGGGTTTCTAGATGGGTGGTGATTTGCTTCTTGGCCCCTTTCAAAGATTTTTATGATAGGGGTTTTATCTATTGGCGTATCTTTGCTGTTGCTTTAGCCCCCTTTTGTGGGGGGGCTAGTTGGTTTTAGTAATGGGGACGACCCCCGTGCCATGCTCCCCTCCTTTTAGGAGAAAGGCCCCGTAAATAGGGGCTTTGCAGTTTCTTGAAAAACACGATTCCTGAGGGCCCCTGGGGAGAGGCAGGGGCAAGTCTTTATGCTGTTGAAGTCTTTTGGCGCGGGAAAAACACGGAAAGGTTGTGTTAATCAAATTTTGTGGCTTTTCCATAAAAATTCTTTTTGTCTCGATCTCGTCGGGTTAGGGCTTGCAAAAAAACTAATTCTATTGGGATTTGAGTACTCACTAATTTCCTTGCTGTCACTGTGTAGGACCCATTTTTTTTAAGGGGGGGCCCAAATACGGGACTTTGTTCCATTTTGATTTGGCTAGGAAAGAAATACTTTGGGTTTCTTTCGATTTCTTTTTGGGGCTTTTATTTCTTTCCCGGATTCCTGACTCCAAAAGGTTCTTTTAGCTTAAGTTGATGCTTGCTTTTTCCTGCCCAGTGTCCCCGCGCTTTTCTGATATATGACCTTTTTTTACCCGCTCTGTTATTTTTTTCCGTCGCTGTAAAAGGGGCCCTGTCTCTTCTTTTTACATTCCCCTCCTTTTTTTAAGGAAAAAGGGCTTGGCATACATCGAGTCCCCCGGAGTTAATCTGTTCAGGCAAAAATTTTGGGTCTGTGTTGCTTAGTAATTTCCCACTTATATCGGTTAGGACTTGGGTTACTTGGTCCCCCTTTATGTTTTGTTATTGAAATTTTTTTTGGTGAATCCCCTCTGACTGTCTCATTATGCGGTTGGGGCCAGCATACATTCTGAAAACCCAATTTTTTTGTGATTGAGTTATTGTTTTGAATTTGGGGAATTTCTTATCGATCATATTGTTAGTTGAAGAGAGGGGTAGTGTATTCTCCAGTCATAGGCTCTATTATTTTTTGGTTTAAATTGAATTTTTTTGCAGAGATTTTAAAAGCTGTGGGTGGAGTTTTTTCAAGCGCCCTGGTGTTATTACGCAACAATTTATTTGCTATATTCCCCCCATTTTTGGTGCCTTAAGTTGAAAACCCCCAGGAGCAAAAATGTTGGGGTCAGGAGTGGAAATTTTCCAGACGTGGCAATTTTTAACAGCGTTCCCGGTTTTCTGGGATGTTGCATCCGGGGGTTGTAGTACCACAATGATGGTTTGGTTTTCGACCTTACTGCTAAAACTTCCCCTAGTCTTTGGGCTTTTGCAGTTCTGTGCAAACAAGGGGACCCGCAATGACAGGCCAACCCCCCCCCCTTTTTCCCGTTCCTCTGTCAAACTGTATAGGTTGTAAACCCGGGGCCCTATTTTGTTGTCCAAGTGATCCTTTATGTGGGGCCAGTGAAAGCCGCGAAAATTCCTTTGCCTCTCAGCGTCCCCGGATGAAAAGGGATTTGTTGTTTATGCTGGCTTTAGACCCGAAAAATTTTTAAAAAAAAATTTATCGGACTGGTGGTATTGTTGGTACTGGGGGGGGTTTTTTTTTCCGGCATTAGACTGTTCTGTTGGTTTGGATGGGGGGCCATCGACTGTGGTTCCCTCCAGGAATGATGGTTTGGGTCGATTTTGCCATTTTTTGCCATTTTTTTTCCTTCCTGGCATAAAAAACTCTCCCTTGAGTGGCTGTGGTACCCCCGGTTTTCCCATGGCCTGGATGTTTTGTATCTTTTTGTCCCCTTTAGATGGTATGCCTGGCAATTTAAGTTATAGCACAGTCTTTCCTGTACTGAAGAGGTACACATTTCAGGGTGAAAAAGCTTACAGGAAGGGAGTTTGCATTTTCCTGTTGTCATATGGGCATGACATTTTCTAGGGTGGTCATAGTTGCATGTCCCATCTGTTTTTCCAGATTTCCCATGCCAGCAGATACCAAGTGCATAGTATGTGCACAGGCTTGGTGTAGTCTTGTAACTAGTGTAGTCTTGTAACTAGTGTAGTCTTGTAACTAGTGTAGTCCTGTAACTAGTGTAGTCTTGTAAGTAGTGTAGTCTTGTAAGTAGTGTAGTCCTGTAACTAGTGTAGTCTTGTAACTAGTGTAGTCCTGTAAGTAGTGTAGTCTTGTAACTAGTGTAGTCCTGTAACTAGTGTAGTCTTGTAACTAGTGTAGTCTTGTAACTAGTGTAGTCTTGTAACTAGTGTAGTCTTGTAACTAGTGTAGTCCTGTAACTAGTGTAGTCTTGTAAGTAGTGTAGTCCTGTAACTAGTGTAGTCTTGTAACTAGTGTAGTCCTGTAACTAGTGTAGTCTTGTAACTAGTGTAGTCCTGTAACTAGTGTAGTCTTGTAACTAGTGTAGCCCTGTAACTAGTGTAGTCTTGTAACTAGTGTAGTCCTGTAAGTAGTGTAGTCTTGTAACTAGTGTAGTCTTGTAACTAGTGTAGTCTTGTAAGTAGAGTAGTCTTGTAAGTAGTGTAGTCTTGTAACTAGTGTAGTCTTGTAACTAGTGTAGTCTTGTAACTAGTGTAGTCTTGTAAGTAGAGTAGTCTTGTAACTAGTGTAGTCTTGTAACTAGTGTAGTCTTGTAACTAGTGTAGTCTTGTAACTAGTGTAGTCTTGTAAGTAGTCTTGTAACTAGTGTAGTCTTGTAACTAGTGTAGTCTTGTAACTAGTGTAGTCTTGTAACTAGTGTAGTCCTGTAACTAGTGTAGTCTTGTAAGTAGAGTAGTCTTGTAACTAGTGTAGTCTTGTAACTAGTGTAGTCTTGTAAGTAGTCTTGTAACTAGTGTAGTCTTGTAACTAGTGTAGTCTTGTAACTAGTGTAGTCTTGTAACTAGTGTAGTCTTGTAACTAGTGTAGTCTTGTAAGTAGAGTAGTCTTGTAACTAGTGTAGTCTTGTAACTAGTGTAGTCTTGTAACTAGTGTAGTCTTGAAAACTAATGTAGTCTTGTAACTAGTGTAGTCTTGTAAGTAGTCTTGTAACTAGTGTAGTCTTGTAACTAGTGTAGTCTTGTAACTAGTGTAGTCTTGTAAGAAATGTGTAGTCTTGTAAGTAGAGTAGTCTTGTAACTAGTGTAGTCTTGTAACTAGTGTAGTCTTGTAACTAGTGTAGTCTTGTAACTAGTGTAGTCTTGTAACTAGTGTAGTCTTGTAACTAGTGTAGTCTTGTAAGTAGTGTAGTCTTGTAAGTAGTGTAGTCTTGTAAGTAGAGTAGTCTTGTAACTAGTATAGTCTTGTAACTAGTGTAGTCTTGTAACTAGTGTAGTCTTGTAACTAGTGTAGTCTTGTAAGTAGTCTTGTAACTAGTGTAGTCTTGTAAGTAGAGTAGTCTTGTAACTAGCGTAGTGTTGTAACTAGTGTAGTCTTGTAACTAGTGTAGTCTTGTAACTAGTGTAGTCTTGTAACTAGTGTAGTCTTGTAACTAGTGTAGTCTTGTAACTAGTGTAGTCTTGTAACTAGTGTAGTCTTGTAAATAGCGTAGTGTTGTAACTAGTGTAGTCTTGTAACTAGCGTAGTGTTGTAACTAGCGTAGTGTTGTAACTAGCGTAGTGTTGTAACTAGCGTAGTGTTGTAACTAGTGTAGTCTTGTAAGTAGAGTAGTCTTGTAACTAGTGTAGTCTTGTAACTAGCGTAGTGTTGTAACTAGCGTAGTGTTGTAACTAGCGTAGTGTTGTAACTAGCGTAGTGTTGTAACTAGCGTAGTGTTGTAACTAGTGTAGTCTTGTAAGTAGAGTAGTCTTGTAACTAGCGTAGTGTTGTAACTAGCGTAGTGTTGTAACTAGCGTAGTGTTGTAACTAGCGTAGTGTTGTAACTAGTGTAGTCTTGTAAGTAGAGTAGTCTTGTAACTAGCGTAGTGTTGTAACTAGCGTAGTGTTGTAACTAGCGTAGTGTTGTAACTAGCGTAGTGTTGTAACTAGCGTAGTGTTGTAACTAGCGTAGTGTTGTAACTAGTGTAGTCTTGTAAGTAGAGTAGTCTTGTAACTAGCGTAGTGTTGTAACTAGCGTAGTGTTGTAACTAGCGTAGTGTTGTAACTAGCGTAGTGTTGTAACTAGTGTAGTCTTGTAAGTAGAGTAGTCTTGTAACTAGTGTAGTCTTGTAAGTAGAGTAGTCTTGTAACTAGCGTAGTGTTGTAACTAGCGTAGTGTTGTAACTAGCGTAGTGTTGTAACTAGCGTAGTGTTGTAACTAGCGTAGTGTTGTAACTAGCGTAGTGTTGTAACTAGTGTAGTCTTGTAAGTAGAGTAGTCTTGTAACTAGTGTAGTCTTGTAACTAGCGTAGTCTTGTAAGTAGAGTAGTCTTGTAACTAGCGTAGTGTTGTAACTAGCGTAGTCTTGTAAGTAGAGTAGTCTTGTAACTAGCGTAGTCTTGTAAGTAGAGTAGTCTTGTAAGTAGAGTAGTGTTGTAACTAGCGTAGTGTTGTAACTAGCGTAGTCTTGTAAGTAGTGTTGTAACTAGTGTAGTCTTGTAAGTAGAGTAGTGTTGTAACTAGCGTAGTGTTGTAACTAGCGTAGTGTTGTAACTAGCGTAGTCTTGTAAGTAGTGTTGTAACTAGTGTAGTCTTGTAAGTAGAGTAGTGTTGTAACTAGCGTAGTCTTGTAAGTAGAGTAGTGTTGTAACTAGCGTAGTGTTGTAACTAGCGTAGTGTTGTAACTAGCGTAGTGTTGTAACTAGCGTAGTCTTGTAACTAGCGTAGTGTTGTAACTAGCGTAGTGTTGTAACTAGCGTAGTGTTGTAACTAGCGTAGTCTTGTAACTAGCGTAGTCACACTAGAGGCTACGGTGTAGCAGGTGAAGACAGACACTTACCCAGGTTACCTAGGAACGCAGGAAAGAATCCCATTATATTTCTCAGCCTCAACTCCACTGTCTCTGCTATGAAGACTGACCCGGCTGCAGCCTGCACGCCCACACACGCCCCGCCCATCATACGACCCAGGATCACCCCGCCCACACCTCCAGATTGGGCAATTATCACCCATGCTGTAAGAGATACATTTTATGGGTACTGTATACCATTCGTATACAATACTTGTATTCCACCTAAGGATTTTACAAGATTAGGCTAAGGATTCCTGTCTGTATTTACAAGCTATGAGGTGCTACCTATATCAGTCATGTAAATAGGGATCAGGGTGAAATTGGAGCCATCTGTGGGCTGATAAATAAGGCATATTTAATGAGGCACAGATGCTGTGCAGATATAAGTGTTGTAGTAACGAGATTAACGTTGTATGTTCAGATGTATGATTCGGATTAGTGTGGATTGAACACCTCTGTTCGTCTAGCCGTACATGTTCACCTTTGTTCATCGTGAACTTGCTACAAAGACTGTACATCAGAGGGAGGGCAGGTGAATGTAACACATACATGAGACCAGGGGCCAGGTGAGGTGGAGGAGGGTAGCCCGGCGGCCCAGGTGGTCCACTAGTGGACCAGCTGCAACACTGCCTAGTAATGCGCAGGCTGGCATCACTGCTCCAATCCACGACTCCTGTAACACAAGTTAGATGTTACTAATCAACCCACGACTCCTGTAACACAAGTTAGATGTTACTAATCAACCCACGACTCCTGTAACACAAGTTAGATGTTACTAATCAACCCACGACTCCTGTAACACAAGTTAGATGTTACTAATCAACCCACGACTCCTGTAACACAAGTTAGATGTTACTAATCAACCCACGACTCCTGTAACACAAGTTAGATGTTACTAATCAACCCACGGCTCCTGTAACACAAGTTAGATGTTACTAATCAACCCACGACTCCTGTAACACAAGTTAGATGTTACTAATCAACCCACGGCTCCTGTAACACAAGTTAGATGTTACTAATCAACCCACGACTCCTGTAACACAAGTTAGATGTTACTAATCAACCCACGACTCCTGTAACACAAGTTAGATGTTACTAATCTACCCACGACTGCTGAAACACAAGTTAGATGTTACTAATCAACCCACGACTCCTGTAACACAAGTTAGATGTTACTAATCAACCCACGACTCCTGTAACACAAGTTAGATGTTACTAATCAACCCACGACTCCTGTAACACAAATTAGATGTTACTAATCAACCCACGACTCCTGTAACACAAATTAGATGTTACTAATCAACCCACGACTCCTGTAACACAAGTTAGATGTTACTAATCAACCCACGACTCCTGTAACACAAGTTAGATGTTACTAATCAACCCACGACTCCTGTAACACAAATTAGATGTTACTAATCAACCCACGACTCCTGTAACACAAATTAGATGTTACTAATCAACCCACGACTCCTGCAACACAAGTTAGATGTTACTAATCAACCCACGACTCCTGTAACACAAGTTAGATGCTACTATTCAACCCACGACTCCTGTAACACAAATTAGATGTTACTAATCAACCCACGACTCCTGCAACACAAGTTAGATGTTACTAATCAACCACGACTCCTGTAACACAAGTTAGATGCTACTATTCAACCCACGACTCCTGTAACACAAGTTAGATGTTACTAATCAACCCACGACTCCTGTAACACAAGTTAGATGCTACTATTCAACCCACGACTCCTGTAACACAAATTAGATGTTACTAATCAACCCACGACTCCTGCAACACAAGTTAGATGTTACTAATCAACCCACGACTCCTGTAACACAAGTTAGATATTACTAATCAACCCACGACTCCTGCAACACAAGTTAGATGTTACTAATCAACCCACGACTCCTGCAACACAAGTTAGATGCTACTATTCAACCCACGACTCCTGTAACACAAGTTAGAATGTTATCACTTAACCCACGACCGCTGTAATACAATATTACTACTAACCTGTTCTTTAGTAATAGAGAAGTTAGGATCAGCTCTCATAGATGGCAGTGCTGGAGAGGTGTAACCCATAGTCAGAGTTGCCACCATACCTCCCAGACCCATGCAGGCAGCACCCATGGCCTGCAACACATGTAATGTTCACAGCAATGTTACATTACCTGACCCATAACTAGGCTCTGACGACCCTTGACTTACTGCTCGGTTCCCTCATACATAGTACATAGTACATAGTACCTGTTGTCTACTACAACCAAGGGGAAGCAAAGGGAACTAGTGGTGATAATGGTACTTAGATAATGTAATCTGTGAACTAGTGCCCCTTAGATCACGTAATCTATTAACTAGTGCCCCTTAGATAATGTAATCTGTGAACTAAAGCCCCTTAGATCACGTAATCTATTAACTAGTGCCCCTTAGATAATGTAATCTGTGAACTAGTGCCCCTTAGATAACGTAATCTATTAACTAGTGCCCCTTAGATAATGTAATCTGTGAACTAGTGCCCCTTAGATAATGTAATCTGTGAACTAGTGCCCATTAGATCACGTAATCTATTAACTAGTGCCCCTTAGATAATGTAATCTGTGAACTAGTGCCCCTTAGATCACGTAATCTATTAACTAGTGCCCCTTAGATAATGTAATCTGTGAACTAGTGCCCCTTAGATAATGTAATCTGTGAACTAAAGCCCCTTAGATGTGGTACAACCACTGAGAAGCAGGGTGAACTAATGGAATTAATTCCCCTTAGATGTAAACAGATTATTTTTGACCATTTAAAGGTTAATTCTCGCTGTGTTATAGTGACCATTTACCACACGACACACTATAGATAAGGGAAATTTATGTATGGGTAAAATCCCGGACTGACATGCTGGTTGATGTCCCCCAGACTGACATGCTGGTTGGAGTCCCCCAGACAGACATGCTGGTTGGAGTCCCCCAGACTGACATGCTGGTTGGAGTCCCCCAGACAGACATGCTGGTTGGAGTCCCCCAGACTGACATGCTGGTTGGAGTCCCCCAGACTGACATGCTGGTTGGAGTCCCCCAGACAGACACGCTGGTTGGAGTCCCCCAGACAGACATGCTGGTTGGAGTCCCCCAGACAGACACGCTGGTTGGAGTCCCCCCAGACAGACATGCTGGTTGGAGTTCCCGCAGACAGACATGCTGGTTGGAGTCCCCCAGACAGACATGCTGGTTGGAGTCCCCCAGACATGCTGGTTGGAGTCCCCCAGACAGACACACTGGTTGGAGTCCCCCAGACAGACATGCTGGTTGGAGTCCCCCAGACATGCTGGTTGTAGTCCCCCAGACAGACACACTGGTTGGAGTCCCCCAGACAGACACGCTGGTTGGAGTCCCCCAGACAGACACGCTGGTTGGAGTCCCCCAGACAGACATGCTGGTTGGAGTTCCCGCAGACAGACATGCTGGTTGGAGTCCCCCAGACATGCTGGTTGGAGTCCCCCAGACAGACACGCTGGTTGGAGTCCCCCAGACAGACACGCTGGTTGGAGTCCCCCAGACAGACATGCTGGTTGGAGTTCCCCAGACAGACATGCTGGTTGGAGTCCCCCAGACATGCTGGTTGGAGTCCCCCAGACAGACACGCTGGTTGGAGTCCCCCAGACAGACATGCTGGTTGGAGTCCCCCAGACAGACATGCTGGTTGGAGTTCCCCAGACAGACATGCTGGTTGGAGTCCCCCAGACAGACACGCTGGTTGGAGTCCCCCAGACTGACATGCTGGTTGGAGTCCCCCAGACTGACATGCTGGTTGGAGTCCCCCAGACAGACATGCTGGTTGGAGTCCCCCAGACTGACATGCTGGTTGGAGTCCCCCAGACTGACATGCTGGTTGGAGTCCCCCAGACTGACATGCTGGTTGGAGTCCCCCAGACTGACATGCTGGTTGGAGTCCCCAGACTGACATGCTGGTTGGAGTCCCCCAGACTGACATGCTGGTTGGAGTCCCCCAGACTGACATGCTGGTTGGAGTCCCCAGACAGACATGCTGGTTGGAGTCCCCAGACTGACATGCTGGTTGGAGTCCCCCAGACTGACATGCTGGTTGGAGTCCCCCAGACAGACATGCTGCTTGGAGTCCCCCAGACAGACATGCTGCTTGGAGTCCCCCAGACAGACACGCTGGTTGTAGTCCCCCAGACAGACATGCTGGTTGGAGTCCCCCAGATAGACATGCTGGTTGGAGTCCCCCAGACAAACATGCTGGTTGGAGTCCCCCAGACAGACATGCTGGTTGGAGTCCCCCAGACAGACACGCTGGTTGTAGTCCCCCAGACAGACATGCTGGTTGGAGTCCCCCAGATAGACATGCTGGTTGGAGTCCCCCAGATAGACACGCTGGTTGTAGTCCCCCAGACAGACATGCTGGTTGGAGTCCCCCAGACAGACACGCTGGTTGTAGTCCCCCAGACAGACATGCTGGTTGGAGTCCCCCAGACAGACATGCTGGTTGGAGTCCCCCAGACAGACATGCTGGTTGGAGTCCCCCAGACAGACATGCTGGTTGGAGTCCCCCAGACAGACATGCTGGTTGGAGTCCCCCAGACTGACATGCTGGTTGGAGTCCCCAAGACAGACACACTGGTTGGAGTCCCCCAGACAGACATACTGGTTGGAGTCCCCCAGACAGACACACTGGTTGGAGTACCCCAGACAGACACGCTGGTTGGAGTCCCCCAGACAGACATGCTGGTTGGAGTCCCCCAGACACACACGCTGGTTGGAGTCCCCCAGACAGACATGCTGGTTGGAGTCCCCCAGACAGACACGCTGGTTGGAGTCCCCCAGACAGACACGCTGGTTGGAGTCCCCCAGACAGACATGCTGGTTGGAGTCCCCCAGACAGACATGCTGGTTGGAGTCCCCCAGACAGACATGCTGGTTGGAGTCCCCCAGAGTCATGCTGGTTGGAGTCCCCCAGACAGACACGCTGGTTGGAGTCCCCCAGACAGACATGCTGGTTGGAGTCCCCCAGACAGACATGCTGGTTGGAGTCCCCCAGACAGACATGCTGGTTGGAGTCCCCCAGACAGACACGCTGGTTGTAGTCCCCCAGACAGACATACTGGTTGGAGTCCCCCAGACAGACATACTGGTTGGAGTCCCCCAGACAGACACACTGGTTGGAGTCCCCCAGACAGACACACTGGTTGGAGTCCCCCAGACAGACACACTGGTTGGAGTTCCCCAGACTGACACACTGGTTGGAGTCCCCCAGACAGACACACTGGTTGGAGTCCCCCAGACAGACACACTGGTTGGAGTCCCCCAGACAGACACACTGGTTGGAGTCCCCCCAGACAGACACACTGGTTGGAGTCCCCCAGACAGACACACTGGTTGGAGTCCCCCAGACAGACACATTGGTTGGAGTCCCCCCAGACAGACACACTGGTTGGAGTCCCCCAGACAGACACACTGGTTTTAGTCCCCCAGACAGACACACTGGTTGGAGTCCCCCAGACAGACATGCTGGTTGGAGTCCCCCAGACAGACACACTGGTTGGAGTCCCCCAGAGTCATGCTGGTTGGAGTCCCCCAGACAGACATGCTGGTTGGAGTCCCCCAGACTGACATGCTGGTTGGAGTCCCCCAGACAGACATGCTGGTTGGAGTCCCCCAGACAGACATGCTGTTGGAGTCCCCCAGAGTCATGCTGGTTGGAGTCCCCAGACAGACACGCTGGTTGTAGTCCCCCAGACAGACACACTGGTTGGAGTCCCCCAGACAGACATACTGGTTGGAGTCCCCCAGACAGACATGCTGGTTGGAGTCCCCCAGACAGACATGCTGTTGGAGTCCCCCAGAGTCATGCTGGTTGGAGTCCCCCAGACAGACACGCTGGTTGTAGTCCCCCAGACAGACACACTGGTTGGAGTCCCCCAGACAGACATACTGGTTGGAGTCCCCCAGACAGACATGCTGGTTGGAGTCCCCCAGACAGACATGCTGTTGGAGTCCCCCAGAGTCATGCTGGTTGGAGTCCCCCAGACAGACACGCTGGTTGTAGTCCCCCAGACAGACACACTGGTTGGAGTCCCCCAGACAGACATGCTGGTTGGAGTCCCCCAGACAGACACGCTGGTTGGAGTCCCCCAGACAGACATACTGGTTGGAGTCCCCCAGACAGACATGCTGGTTGGAGTCCCCCAGAGTCATGCTGGTTGGAGTCCCCCAGACAGACACGCTGGTTGTAGTCCCCCAGACAGACACGCTGGTTGGAGTCCCCCAGACAGACATGCTGGTTGGAGTCCCCCAGACAGACACGCTGGTTGTAGTCCCCCAGACAGACATACTGGTTGGAGTCCCCCAGACAGACATACTGGTTGGAGTCCCCCAGACAGACACACTGGTTGGAGTCCCCCAGACAGACACACTGGTTGGAGTCCCCCAGACAGACACACTGGTTGGAGTCCCCCAGACAGACACACTGGTTGGAGTCCCCCAGACAGACACACTGGTTGGAGTCCCCCCAGACAGACACACTGGTTGGAGTTCCCCAGACAGACACACTGGTTGGAGTCCCCCAGACAGACACATTGGTTGGAGTCCCCCCAGACAGACACACTGGTTGGAGTCCCCCAGACAGACACACTGGTTTTAGTCCCCCAGACAGACACACTGGTTGGAGTCCCCCAGACAGACATGCTGGTTGGAGTCCCCCAGACAGACACACTGGTTGGAGTCCCCCAGAGTCATGCTGGTTGGAGTCCCCCAGACAGACATGCTGGTTGGAGTCCCCAGACTGACATGCTGGTTGGAGTCCCCAGACAGACATGCTGGTTGGAGTCCCCCAGACAGACATGCTGTTGGAGTCCCCCAGAGTCATGCTGGTTGGAGTCCCCCAGACACACACGCTGGTTGTAGTCCCCCAGACAGACACACTGGTTGGAGTCCCCCAGACAGACATACTGGTTGGAGTCCCCCAGACAGACATGCTGGTTGGAGTCCCCCAGACAGACATGCTGTTGGAGTCCCCCAGAGTCATGCTGGTTGGAGTCCCCCAGACAGACACGCTGGTTGTAGTCCCCCAGACAGACACACTGGTTGGAGTCCCCCAGACAGACATACTGGTTGGAGTCCCCCAGACAGACATGCTGGTTGGAGTCCCCCAGACAGACATGCTGTTGGAGTCCCCAGAGTCATGCTGGTTGGAGTCCCCCAGACAGACACGCTGGTTGTAGTCCCCCAGACAGACACACTGGTTGGAGTCCCCCAGACAGACATGCTGGTTGGAGTCCCCCAGACAGACACGCTGGTTGGAGTCCCCCAGACAGACATACTGGTTGGAGTCCCCCAGACAGACACACTGGTTGGAGTCCCCCAGACAGACACACTGGTTGGAGTCCCCCAGACAGACACACTGGTTGGAGTCCCCCAGACAGACACGCTGGTTGTAGTCCCCCAGACAGACACACTGGTTGGAGTCCCCCCAGACAGACACACTGGTTGTAGTCCCCCCAGACAGACACACTGGTTGTAGTCCCCCAGACAGACACACTGGTTGTAGTCCCCCAGACAGACACACTGGTTGTAGTCCCCCAGACAGACACACTGGTTGGAGTCCCCCAGACAGACACACTGGTTGGAGTCCCCCAGACAGACACACTGGTTGTAGTCCCCCAGACAGACACACTGGTTGTAGTCCCCCAGACAGACACACTGGTTGGAGTCCCCCAGACAGACACACTGGTTGGAGTCCCCCAGACAGACACACTGGTTGTAGTCCCCCAGACAGACACACTGGTTGGAGTCCCCCAGACAGACACACTGGTTGGAGTCCCCCAGACAGACACACTGGTTGGAGTCCCTCAGACAGACACACTGGTTGGAGTCCCCCAGACAGACACACTGGTTGGAGTCCCCCAGACAGACACACTGGTTGTAGTCCCCCAGACAGACACACTGGTTGGAGTCCCCCAGACAGATACACTGGTTGTAGTCCCCCAGACAGACACACTGGTTGGAGTCCCCCAGACAGACACACTGGTTGGAGTCCCCCAGACAGACACACTGGTTGGAGTCCCCCAGACAGACACACTGGTTGTAGTCCCCCAGACAGACACACTGGTTGGAGTCCCCCAGACAGATACACTGGTTGTAGTCCCCCAGACAGACACACTGGTTGGAGTCCCCCAGACAGACACACTGGTTGGAGTCCCCAGACAGACACATGGTTGGAGTCCCCCAGACAGACACACTGGTTGGAGTCCCCCAGACAGACACACTGGTTGTAGTCCCCCAGACAGACACACTGGTTGGAGTCCCCCAGACAGACACACTGGTTGGAGTCCCCCAGAGTCGTGCTGGTACCTCAAGTGTTATTTCCGACCGTACACCAGTTTTTACACAGCAATTCCAGTATTCTCGGACAGGAAGTGCCTCCCCACCCATATTTCCGATGCTTCCATCTATATGGAACAACTTAGAACCCTAAATGTGTGACTGAGAGGACATATTACACCGTCTCTGTTATGGCTAACACGTCAATGTTACCAGCACTCACTGCCGTATTTCCTTATTCTGTTATATTCTCTTAATTTAGAATAGGAGTGAACGGTTGTTTCTCCGTATTTAATTCTGCGTTTAACTTAAAAAAAATTAGTACATTTAACCTCTTACCTGGTAGATTATGTGACTGATGCCTTTGGTTGATTTAGTTGATGCTGCAGCATCTCTCGTTGATGCTGCAGCATCTCTCATTGATGCTGCATCCTCTCTCGTTGATGCTGCAGCATCTCTCGTTGATGCTGATCCTCTCTCGTTGATGCTGCATCTCTCGTTGATGCTGCAGCATCTCTCATTGATGCTGCATCCTCTCTCGTTGATGCTGCAGCATCTCTCGTTGATGCTGCAGCATCTCTCGTTGATGCTGCATCCTCTCTTGTTGATGCTGCATCTCTCGTTGATGCTGCATCCTCTCTTGTTGATGCTGCAGCATCTCTCGTTGATGCTGCATCCTCTCTCGTTGATGCTGCAGCATCTCTCGTTGATGCTGCATCCTCTCTCGTTGATTCTGCATCCTCCTTCGTTGACCATTGTAGCCCATCGTCTATATCTCCTTCCTGTGTCAGTCTTCCTGTTCGTTCTCTCAGTCTTGTAGCATCAGCTGACTCATGGTCCGCCATTATTACTGTCGGAACATCATTCTTATTAAACTACCAGATATATCATTATATTCCTGTTATAAATACCGAGAAGTTGATCAATATATGTCGGACATGTGTTTTATTCAGCAGGTGTATGTGCATATATTGTTATGACTTGACAGTGGTTCAAGACCTGTTCCAGGCAAGTTACTGTTGGTTTAATATTATTATTATGTAGGCCAGACCCATCCTGTGGGTGGTAGTCAGATTACACAGCTACATAATGGGTCCAGGGACTGTACCTCAACATTACAGAGGTACATAATGGGTCCAGGGACTGTACCTCAACATTACAGAGGTACATAATGGCTCCAGGGACTGTACCTCAACATTACAGAGGTACATAATGGGTCCAGGGACTGTACCTCAACATTACAGAGGTACATAATGGGTCCAGAGACTGTACCTCAAACATTACACAGGTACATAATGGGTCCAGGGACTGTACCTCAACATTACAGAGGTACATAATGGGTCCAGGGACTGTACCTCAACATTACAGAGGTACATAATGGGTCCAGGGACTGTACCTCAACATTACAGAGGTACATAATGGGTCCAGGGACTGTACCTCAACATTACAGAGGTACATAATGGGTCCAGGGACTGTACCTCAACATTACAGAGGTACATAATGGGTCCAGGGACTGTACCTCAACATTACAGAGGTACATAATGGGTCCAGGGACTGTACCTCAACATTACAGAGGTACATAATGGGTCAGGGACTGTACCTCAACATTACAGAGGTACATAATGGGTCCAGGGACTGTACCTCAACATTACAGAGGTACATAATGGCTCCAGGGACTGTACCTCAACATTACAGAGGTACATAATGGGTCCAGGGACTGTACCTCAACATTACAGAGGTACATAATGGGTCCAGGGACTGTACCTCAACATTATGAACAAGTTAGAATGGTAATAAAATATTTATTTACATCTGGTCAGGTTATTTTATATTTGGATCAATAAGACAGGAAGCATCACAGTAGTGACGGAGACGCACGGTGGCGGTAGCTGAGTGACTCACGAGACACAGAGATACAGACAGAGACAGAGAGAGGCAGAGACACAGAGATATAGAGAGAGACAGAGACAGAGACACAGAGATATAGAGAGAGACAGAGACAGAGACACAGACATATAGAGAGAAACAGAGACAGAGACACAGAGATATAGAGAGAGACAGAGACAGAGAGAGACAGATACAGAGACAGAGACAGATAAAGACAGAGACAGAGAGAGAGACACACACAGATATAGAGAGAGACAGAGAGAGAGACAAAGACAGAGACAGAGAAACAGAGACAGAGACAGAGAGACAAAGACAGAGAGAGACAGAGACAGACACAGAGATCACTTCACGTGTCTTCATCCTACATTTTAACTCTGAACGATGACACAGTCTTTCTTACATTTCTAGGTGTTTATACTGGCTGACCAGCGGAACGTGAGGACTGAGACCTCGGTGTTAACCAGCGGAACGTGAGGACTGAGACCTCGGTGTTAACCAGCGGAACGTCAGGACTGAGACCTCGGTGTTAACCAGCGGAACGTGAGGACTGAGACCTCGGTGTTAACCAGCGGAACGTCAGGACTGAGACCTCGGTGTTAACCAGCGGAACGTCAGGACTGAGACCTCGGTGTTAACCAGCGGAACGTGAGGACTGAGACCTCGGTGTTAACCAGCGGAACGTGAGGACTGAGACCTCGGTTTTTAACCAGCGGAACGTGAGGACTGAGACCTCGGTGTTAACCAGCGGAACGTGAGGACTGAGACCTCGGTGTTAACCAGCGGAACGTGAGGACTGAGACCTCGTGTTAACCAGCGGAACGTCAGGACTGAGACCTCGGTGTTAACCAGCGGAACGTGAGGACTGAGACCTCGTGTTAACCAGCGGAACGTCAGGACTGAGACCTCGGTGTTAACCAGCGGAACGTGAGGACTGAGACCTCGGTGTTAACCAGCGGAACGTCAGGACTGAGACCTCGGTGTTAACCAGCGGAACGTGAGGACTGAGACTCGGTGTTAACCAGCGGAACGTGAGGACTGAGACCTCGATGTTAACCAGCGGAACGTGAGGACTGAGACCTCGGTGTTAACCAGCGGAACGTCAGGACTGAGACCTCGGTGTTAACCAGCGGAACGTGAGGACTGAGACCTCGGTGTTAACCAGCGGAACGTGAGGACTGAGACCTCGGTGTTAACCAGCGGAACGTGAGGACTGAGACCTCGGTGTTAACCAGCGGAACGTGAGGACTGAGACCTCGGTGTTAACCAGCGGAAACGTCAGGACTGAGACCTCGGTGTTAACCAGCGGAACGTGAGGACTGAGACCTCGGTGTTAACCAGCGGAACGTCAGGACTGAGACCTCGGTGTTAACCAGCGGAAACGTGAGGACTGAGACCTCGGTTTAACCAGCGGAACGTGAGGACTGAGACCTCGGTGTTAACCAGCGGAACGTCAGGACTGAGACCTCGGTGTTAACCAGCGGAACGTCAGGACTGAGACCTCGGTGTTAACCAGCGGAACGTGAGGACTGAGACCTCGGTGTTAACCAGCGGAACGTGAGGACTGAGACCTCGGTGTTAACCAGCGGAAACGTCAGGACTGAGACCTCGGTGTTAACCAGCGGAACGTGAGGACTGAGACCTCGGTGTTAACCAGCGGAACGTGAGGACTGAGACCTCGGTGTTAACCAGCGGAACATGAGGACTGAGACCTCGGTGTTAACCAGCGGAACGTCAGGACTGAGACCTCGGTGTTAACCAGCGGAACGTGAGGACTGAGACCTCGGTGTTAACCAGCGGAACGTCAGGACTGAGACCTCGGTGTTAACCAGCGGAACGTGAGGACTGAGACCTCGGTGTTAACCAGCGGAACGTCAGGACTGAGACCTCGGTGTTAACCAGCGGAACGTGAGGACTGAGACCTCGGTGTTAACCAGCGGAACGTCAGGACTGAGACCTCGGTGTTAACCAGCGGAACGTGAGGACTGAGACCTCGGTGTTAACCAGCGGAACGTCAGGACTGAGACCTCGGTGTTAACCAGTGGAACGTCAGGACTGAGACCTCGGTGTTAACCAGCGGAACGTCAGGACTGAGACCTCGGTGTTAACCAGCGGAACGTGAGGACTGAGACCTCGGTGTTAACCAGCGGAACGTCAGGACTGAGACCTCGGTGTTAACCAGCGGAACGTGAGGACTGAGACCTCGGTGTTAACCAGCGGAACGTCAGGACTGAGACCTCGGTGTTAACCAGCGGAACGTCAGGACTGAGACCTCGGTGTTAACCAGCGGAACGTCAGGACTGAGACCTCGGTGTTAACCAGCGGAACGTGAGGACTGAGACCTCGGTGTTAACCAGCGGAACGTCAGGACTGAGACCTCGGTGTTAACCAGCGGAACGTGAGGACTGAGACCTCGGTGTTAACCAGCGGAACGTCAGGACTGAGACCGCGGTGTTAACCAGCGGAACGTCAGGACTGAGACCTCGGTGTTAACCAGCGGAACGTCAGGACTGAGACCTCGGTGTTAACCAGCGGAACGTCAGGACTGAGACCTCGGTGTTAACCAGCGGAACGTGAGGACTGAGACCTCGGTGTTAACCAGAGGAACGTGACGTCTGAGACCTCGGTGTTAACCAGAGGAACGTGACGTCTGAGACCTCGGTGTTAACCAGAGGAACGTGACGTCTGAGACCTCGGTGTTAACCAGAGGAACGTGACGTCTGAGACCTCGGTGTTAACCAGAGGAACGTGACGTCTGAGACCTCGGTGTTAACCAGAGGAACGTGACGTCTGAGAACCTCGGTGTTAACCAGCGGAACGTGACGTCTGAGACCTCGGTGTTAACCAGAGGAACGTGACGTCTGAGACCTCGGTGTTAACCAGCGGAACGTGACGTCTGAGACCTCGGTGTTAACCAGAGGAACGTGACGTCTGAGACCTCGGTGTTAACCAGAGGAACGTGACGTCTGAGACCTCGTGTTAACCAGCGGAACGTGACGTCTGAGACCTCGGTGTTAACCAGCGGAACGTGACGTCTGAGACCTCGGTGTTAACCAGAGGAACGTGAGGTCTGAGACCTCGGTGTTAACCAGAGGAACGTGACGTCTGAGACCTCGGTGTTAACCAGAGGAACGTGACGTCTGAGACCTCGGTGTTAACCAGAGGAAGGTGACGTCTGAGACCTCGGTGTTAACCAGAGGAACGTGACGTCTGAGACCTCGGTGTTAACCAGCGCAACGTGACGTCTGAGACCTCGGTGTTAACCAGAGGAACGTGACGTCTGAGACCTCGGTGTTAACCAGAGGAACGTGAGGTCTGAGACCTCGGTGTTAACCAGAGGAACGTGACGTCTGAGACCTCGGTGTTAACCAGCGGAACGTGACGTCTGAGACCTCGGTGTTAACCAGAGGAACGTAACGTCTGAGACCTCGGTGTTAACCAGCGGAACGTGACGTCTGAGACCTCGGTGTTAACCAGAGGAACGTGACGTCTAAGACCTCGGTGTTAACCAGCGGAACGAGAGGTCTGAGACCTCGGTGTTAACCAGAGGAACGTGACGTCTGAGACCTCGGTATTAACCAGCGGAACGTGACGTCTGAGACCTCGGTGTTAACCAGCGGAACGTGACGTCTGAGACCTCGGTGTTAACCAGAGGAACGTGAGATCTGAGACCTCAGTGTTAACCAGAGGAACGTGAGGTTAGAGACCTCGGTGTTAACCAGAGGAACGTGAGGTCTGAGACCTCGGTGTTAACCAGCGGAACGTGAGGACTGAGACCTCGGTGTTAACCAGCGGAACGTGACGTCTGAGACCTCGGTGTTAACCAGAGGAACGTGACGTCTGAGACCTCAGTGTTAACCAGCGGAACGTGACGTCTGAGACCTCGGTGTTAACCAGAGGAACGTGACGTCTGAGACCTCGGTGTTAACCAGCGGAACGAGAGGTCTGAGACCTCGGTGTTAACCA